TGGCCTGCCGCGCCTCCTCCAGTCACCCTCAGGCGCCTCCTTTCGGGACGGCGGGGGTGGGCCAGGAGATGCTCCGGGGTCACGGCTGGTGGCCTGCCCAGCTGAGAAGACGGGGGCTTCTGGCTCGCCTCCCTGTCCTTGGTGTGCGCGGCCCCCTCCTTCCTCTTCTCCCCGTAGGCAAGCAGCAAACTGAGGAAAAGCAGCCCGCGGCCAGGCTCCCTTCCCTCCCAGCCGAAGGACCTGTTGCAGGACAGGGGGGGTTTCGAGCGACAGCACGGGGGATAATGAGGATGGCGCAGAAGGAGCCCTACATGAGGGCACCACTCCAACTGGCCCCACTTCTGTTCCCAGAGACCAGCACTACAGGGACGATTGCTATCATGCCCTTCTAGCGCCCGTTGTCTTGCACCTACAACAGGCTTTGTGCCTAGTGCTCTATATTACTGAGCCAAAACGCATGGTCCATCGCCAATTTAAGCAGCCAAGTAGTCAACCCTAAAGCCCCAGGCCTTCTGCTAGCCCAGTAGCTAGTCTTACTTTAGCATCTCTAAAAATGTCTGCTCTGCACCCTGGCTGGTATCTAAAACTGGAATAACTCATCATTTAGCATCACATTTTCCCTCAAGGGTGACAATGGAGATATCTGAGTTGCAACGTTTAATTCACTGCGGGGTCGGTCCTGTTTGGGTTATGATACGTTACTACAGTGGCGAAGGAAAAATATTAAAGATAGCCTGTCTTCTAACCAAATGATGTTTACCTTGGAAATTCATCTTCTGCTTCTGTAAAAATTCCAACAAAGGCACTTTCTTTTAGGTTTTGACTGTGAGCCAGTAGATTTAACATTAGATCAATTTCAGACTGATTAATCAATTAAAGGGCAGACAATCCGCTAACACATCTTTAATTTGTTAACCGCTCCACCTGTCTCATATTGGCAGTTCCCAACTACTTTGTATGCTTTGTAGCTTGCCCTCAGTCAGTCAGTCAATCAAACAATCAGTCTGTCTGATATACATATATAGATGATTGGCATAGAGTGTTAATGGATTTTAATTTATGTTACTTTTAAAAAATCTGTATGTTTCTCTCGCTTCTGTGAATTTTACCCCAATCTTTCTGCACTAAAAGCCCATGTGCTACATACAGACTTTTTGAAGTGAATGTATGTGGATCAATATATCTAATTCTCAAACATGGTCCCATCTGTGGATACTTTAATCCAGAGACTGGGGCCATGGATGGACAAGACATGCTTTTCTTCACACCTGAGATTTCACACCCAGGGATTTCAGAAAGATCTTAAATGTAATTTAAAAAAGTATATATTGGAGGGTTAAAACTCCCTTCAAATAACAGAAAGCTCTGGTATCTTTAAGAAACAAATGCCCTTCGTGGTTGTTGTGGTTAGGCAACCGCAACACTACTGCTAGCCTTCAAGCCTTGGTTTCTGCCAGTAAAAGTTGGGGGAGAGAGCAGGGCCCTTTCCAGGGTTGTTCTGGCCTTTGAGGAGGATTCATCACGGTCAGGCCCAGCAGCAACCACTAGACAACTTGATAACATGCAGCTTTGTTGGCAAATGCAAGTGTCCTCACTTCAGTCATAAAAGAGTTAATCTGCTGTTTGTGTTTACAGATTGCAGTTAGTTAGCTTTGACCAATTAGATATTGTGTAGAAGTCCCCGCTGGAGAAGGAGGAGGCTGTAGTCAGAAGGAGGAGGAGGAGGAGGTTGGATTTATATCCTGCCCTTCACTTGGTGTTGCGGTTGCCTAAGGAGATTGTGAGCCGCTCTGAGACTCAGAGTGAAGAGCGGGGTATAAATCCAATCTCCTCCTCCTCCACCTCCTTCTTCATCCGAAGATGCCGAATACAGGCCAAGCCTAAAACATGAGGTATATCCTCTTAAAATAGGAGACCTCGGGTCACCTGAAGGCGACTGGTACATAGGCTGCCTGTTCTTGGACGAATTTCTGCCCCGCCTGCCTCACGGCTGACTCTGGAGCCGAGCCGGCGGCTGGGGGAGAGGGGGGCTCACGGGCCCAGCCGAGTGTGTCGTGCTTTGGCCGCTAGCAGAGCCATCAGGATTGCGGCGCCGCCGGCAACTGCCAGGTAGAAACCGACAGGAAAGAGAAACTAGGAAAGCGAAGCCAGGGAGGCACCTGAAAACAAGACCCTGTTGAACGGGGGCCCGAGCCGGCCACAGACTTGTCTCCGACTGCCTGTAAAACATGCCCGCCCAAACACAGGCAGGCACACACATACACACCCTCGGTAACCAGAAAGGGTCTTTGCTTCACAGGAGACGCAGGGTTGTTTTTTTGAAAAACTGTCCTCAGCCTGGTTAGCGAAGAAACAGCTCAGAGGTTAAAAAGCGACACCATTTCAAAACCCGGGAGGGAACAGTATCCTACTTGTCCTCTGGAGCATTTCACGCCTCGGAATGATCAATCACTGAAGGCAGAAACCCGTTGGCCTAGAAACCCTCTGAGGGACACCGTGCGTGCGGAGAACCTCGGAAGAGTCGTTTGCGGTTGAGAGGGCCTGCAGTGGAACGAAACTGAATTCTTCGGCGCAAAGAGCTGAGGTAACTCTGGACGCCTCTTTTCTGGGTCTCAACACTGTTGTTTTTTAGGTATGTTCTCCACATGTGTACACTTCTAGGCATGATTGAGATAAATACATTTTGGGGCAGGCGCACACGAGGGCGCATCTCAGGTACCTCTTTGCCCAGAGTCCCCACATGGGAACGGCAAACTTGGATTTATCGCTGTGCAGGGCTTTTTTTGTAGAAAAAGCCCAGCAGGAACTCATTAGCATAATAGGCCATACCCAACAGCAGGAACTCATTAGCATATTAGGCCACACCCTGGCAGCACAGCTCATTCGCATATTAGGCCACACCCCCATGTTAACAGAAGCGTGGCCATCCAGCCACACCCACCGTTTGCTTCTTATTCTCTTTATCTTGTTTGTTGTCAAAACCCAGGGCTTTTTGCATGTTAGGCCACACACCCTTAATTGTAGCCAATCCTAATGAGTTTCTGCTGTTGGGTGTGGCCTATTATGCTAATGAGTTCCTGCCGGGCGTGGCCAACTTGGGAGCCAGCCGGAACTCCGTTCCTGTGCGTTCCTGCCCAAAAATAGCCCTGTCGCTGTGTAATCTGTAAACAGCTAAGGTGGGGGTCTCCAACATGGTGCCCGCCAATGACTTTCCTGGCATCCATCAAGTGTTTTTAGAAAGGGGGGGGGAGATGGGGTTCTTGCCCAGCAGGACTTCTGATTGGCCACTGGAGAGGTGACTGGCTGCGCAGATTAAAATAACATTGTTTCAGAAGCAGTTGCCACCACGGTGTTGGTTTTGTTCTCTTTCACTTCTCCTCCTCACAGTGTTTTGTTTTTTTAAATTACCCCTGTTCTCCCCTCCACTTGGGCTTCTTCTGAGTGGTGATCCCCACCTCTTGTGGAGGCCATTTTGTGGTTGGCTCCACCTCCAACGGCAGCCATTTTGTGGTCGCGCCCACCACCCTGTGTCAGAATTCCAAAGCCGCCCACAGGCTCAAAAAGGTTTGGGGCCTCTGAGCGAAGGCTTCCACGTCAGGACTTCCTTCATTCTCTTCAATTTCCCTCTTTGAGAGCCAGTGTTGTATACTACTGTACGAGGACCTAGGAGACCCCAGGTTCGAAACTCTCCTTTGCCATGGAAGCTTGCTGGGTGAAAGTGGGCCTGTCATAACACACTCAGCCTCACAGTGTTGTGAGGGTAAAACAGAGGAGAGAAGAGCAATGTAAGATGCTCTGAATCTCCACTGGGGGGGAGGAAAGGCCGGATATAAATGACATAAATACATTTGTCAATTTAACTTATAAGGGGGGGGGGAGGACTTTTGCAGTTTTTAACTCGACTTGAGCGAGAATGAGGCCTTGCTCACACAAAATACTTGAGTTTAACTAACTGTGATGATCTCTCATTCTTGAGGGAAGTGAACATAAGGACACAAGAGAAACCAATGTTGGATCAGGCTGATGGCCCCTCCAGTCCAACATTCTGTGTTATACAGGGACCAAAGCCCAGGGGCCATCAGGAGGTCCGGCAGCGGGGCCAGGACACTAGAAGCCCTCCCACTGTTGCCTCCCCCCCAAAGCACCAAGAACACAGAGCATCACTTGCCCCAGACCGAGAGTTCCTATCTATACCTTAAGGACATAAGAACACAAGAGAAGCCAATGTTGGATCAGGCCAAAGGCCCATCCAGTCCAACACTCTGTCACACAGTGGCCAAAAACACCAGGTGCCATCAGGAGGTCCACCAGCAGGGCCAGAACTCCAGAAGCCCTCCCACTGTTGCCCCCCCCGCAAGCACCAAGAATACAGAGCACCACTTGCCCCAGACCGAGAATTCCTATCTATACCTTGTGGCTAAAAGCCACGGATGGACCTCTGCTCCGTATGTTTATCCAATCTCCTCTTGAAGCTGTCCATGCTTGTAGCCGCCGCCACCTCCTGTGGCAGTGAATTCCATGTGTTCATCACTCTTTGGGTGAAGAAGGACTTCCTTTTATCTGTTCTAACCCGACCTCTCAGAAATTTCAGGGAGTGCCCACGAGTTCTTGTACTGTGAGAAAGGGAGAAAAGGACTTCTTTCTCTACCTATCTTATAAACCTTGATCATGTCACCCCTCAGCTGTCGTTTCTCCAAGCTAAAGAGCCCCGAGCGCTTTAACCTTCCTTCACAGGGAAAGCGTTCCAACCCTTTTATCGTTCTAGTTGCCCTTTTCTTTTCGGCTGCCGAGATTTTCATTTGTGTTCCCTACGCTTCCCAGTCCGGCTTCCCTTGAGAGAGCCTAGTATTAAACTGATCGAGTCGGACGGAAAGGTGAAAACAAACCAATGAATTCCAGCGCGTACCAGGAAAAACCGTCAACAGAGGCAAACCAATGTGTTCTCCCGCCCTGCGTACTTTACTGCAAAACATTTTCAGAGGAAGGAGATGATAGGTAATTTAAAAAAAAACAGGTACTAAAAAAGGATGGTTTGGGAGACCTGGCTGGTCCACGGGTCTCTCTTGCCAAGAGAGCTGATAGGTGGGCTGTGTGTCAGTTCTGTGACGACAGAGGCCACTGACGGGCCTCGAAATATTTCCGCAGCCCCTCCAGGTTGACAGGTGGGAAGTAGGGCCCGAGCCTCTTCCGGATCCACCACTTTCCGTCTCCGGCGTGCTTCCCTCCTGGCCGGCTGAACTTGTACAGGAAGTGCTCTCCTCGGACCCATCTAGGAATAACAAAAAGCAACAGAGCTTGGATGAGTCCCAAAGAACAAGACTCATTACCCGCAGCGCTTATTTTTAATAAATAGCCCGGTGGAGTGCTTAGATCAGCAGGGGTGTCGAACTCATTTGTTATGAGGGTTGGATTTGACATAAATGAGACCTTGTTGGGCCGGGCCACGTGTGTCATAAAATATAATGCCAGGTAGTGAAGATATAAACTTTATAAAGGACACAAACACAAAATAAAAACATGCTTAGAACATTAGCACGCTTGCAATATTTTGTTTATTTAACAGTGTCTGATAACTGACACCTCTTGCTCTGAATTATTGCATCCAAATGTCTGTGCTGTCGCAGTCTTGAGTATGCTGTTCAGGTGTGTATCTGTAAAGCAGCAGCAGAACTGGAAGAAGAAGCAGAAGACAGCCAGTTCCGCTGCAGGCCTGATAGAAGCCCTTCGGGGGCCTCATCCAGCCCCCCCACCCCGAGCCACATGTTTGGCACCCCTGGCTTAGAGTGTCACAGTAGGACTGGGGAAATAATAATTAATAATAATCATTGCATGGCAGTGTGTGTGGTGTAGCCAGGAGATCCTAAGATTGTCTGGCAGCCAGAAGTTCTAGCTCTTTTAGCGTTAGGCACCACTAGGTGGCGAGCTAGGCTTGTTTTTAAGGCAAGAGACATTTCAGAGGTGGTTTGTCATTGCCTGCCTCTGCGTCACGGCCCTGGTATTCTTTGGAGGTCGTCCATCCAAATACTAGCCAAGGCGAACCCTGCTTAGCTTCTGAGATCTGATGAGATCGGGCTAGCCTGGGCTATCCAGTTCAGGGTAGGACTGAAGAGACACCCCTCAGTCATAAACTCAGAGAGAGATCTTGGGCTTGCCATTCTCTCTTAGCCTGATCTTCCTTGCAAGGTTGTTGTGAAGAAAAAAAATCAAGGGGCCCAGGTGGGATTGGGGCTATATAATTATCAGAGGGAGCTGTAGAACTATTAAAGATTTAATTTCCCCTCTGCACCAATTTGTTTGTTCATCTTCAAGGTGGGATCATAGAATCACAGAACCACAGAGCTGGCAGTTTGGATGTTGTGCCTCTGTTGTGCCAAGATCGCACTAGCCTTTTTTGTCGCTGCATCACACCGGCTCGCCGTTCGGCTTGGAACAAACAAGTCGGCTTTTCAAACGGCAACTGTGTGAAAAGGCAAGTCTCCGTGCGTGCATCTGATCCTAAACCAAGCCAGCCTCCTGCTAACTGACGTCTGGAGCCTCAACCGAAGCCCTCTGGAAAATACCTCCTGAGCCCCGTATCACATGAAGCTGCCTTATACTGAATCCGACCATCAGTTCACTAAGGTCAGTATTGTCTACTCGGAGTGGCAGCTGCTCTCCAGGGTCTTCAGCAGAGATCTTTCACATCACCGCCTGCCTAATCCATTTAACTGGAGGTGCCAGGGATAGAACCTGGGACCTTCCTACATGCCAAGCAGAGGCTCTTCCACTCAGCCACAGCCCCTCTTGACAGCTCTCCAGGGTCTCAGGCAGTGGTCTTTCCCATCACCTAAAGCCTGATCCTTTTTAACAGGAGATGCTGGGGATGGAACCTGGGACCTTCTGCATGCCAAGCAGAGGCTCTTCCACTCAGCCACAGCCCCTCTTGACAGCTCTCCAGGGTCTCAAACCGAGGTCTTTCCCATCACCTAATGCCTGGCCCTTTTTAACTGGAGCTGCCGGGGACCGAACCTGGGACCTTCTGCATGCCAAGCAGAGGCTCTTCCGCTCAGCCACAGCCCCTCTTGACAGCTCTCCAGGGTCTCAAACCGAGGTCTTTCCCATCACCTAATGCCTGGCCCTTTTTAACTGGAGCTGCCGGGGACCGAACCTGGGACCTTCTGCATGCCAAGCAGAGGCTCCTCCACTGAGCCACAGCCCCCCTGGCCCACTGCAGCAGATTCGTGAGGCTTGGAAAGCTCGTACCCCAAGAGAGCTGCAAGAGAAAGGCCCTTATTGAGAAGCAAAAAACTGTAAGGGGGGGGGAGGAGGAAGTGGAGAAAGAAACATTCGTCAGTCACCCAACACACTTCTGGAGTCTGCACAAGCTATCGAGGCCCACTGCTTCGGCTCCTGGTGCCGCCTTCAACCCCCCCCCCCCCAGCGCCCTTCGACAGGAAACATGCTGACAGGGGAGGAGATCACGGCCCCGCGCTTCGGAGCCGCCGCCGCCGCCGCGGAGTCCTCCGTGCCGCTCGCCGGAGAAGTTAATAAAATAAGCCACCGTATAAAAATGTCAGAGGCAAATCAGAGCTCATTTGGAACTCCCTTGCTTGGCTACTCAAATACAAACAGCGCTATTGAGGTGGAGAGCCAGGCCCGGCGCTTGGGGGTTAGACGGATCCCCTCCTCCCCCCCCGAAAAACCACCAGACCTTGGAGGACGTGACACGGGCAGCAAGCGCCGGGGACCTCTTGCTCACATAACGGAGAGGCCTTTCGCACACTTGTGTTGCTGACAACGCGTCCGGACGAACTCTCGCTCGGTCAGGACTCAATAAAGACTTGCGAACAGACAGCAACAGACAAAAGAACTGGCAGCGGAACCATCTCTCTGGAAGCTCTGCTAGCGGTCGGACGGAGCGGCTGGGTTGTTACGGAATGTTCACAAAAATCCCAACCGTTCGGAGTGAAGTTGTCAGCGATGGAATGTTAGCAAACAGTGCAGAGTTTTGAAGGAAGGCCGTGGGAGGTCAGGATTCGGTCGGAAATGAGAACACAAGCAAAACACAGAAAAGGCGGAAGTGTCTTTTGCTGAGGGGCAGGAAGCTCGGGGGGGGGGGGGGGGGGGG